ACTAACCACACCCACCAACTCCACCAGGACACTCTGCTATCCTGAGCGACACAGGCCACTTACCTATTTCAGAGGATCTCAGCATGTCTTAACATCCATCCTGTGGATTCTGTCCCTGCAGAGAGACCAGAGGATACTATGTGAAGCCACCCTGGAGTCAGTTCCTTCTGGATGCAGCCACACTGGCCTAGACTCTTCCCCAAGCAGGACACTGGCATCCCTGATTCTAAGGGAGCCCCGTGGAGCTCCTGACTCAACCACTGTATGCACTTTCCTGTCTCAACACACAACTGGGACTGCAGCTTACATTAGGTCCACTTCCCTCTGGATGAGGCTGAGGTCACAGAGTGGACAGAGAGCACCCTCTTTCTCCTACCAGAAGGCTGAATCTGGTATAGTCGGATAAACAGCTCAAGGAGAACTCTGTGTCTCTCTGTCTTGTTTTGTTTTGTTTGGTTTGGTTTTTTGAGACAGGGTTTTGGAGCCTGTCCTGGAACTAGCTCTTGTAGACCAGGCTGGCCTCGAACTCACAGAGATCTGCCTGGGATTAAACACTGCCCGGCTCAAGGAGAACTCTCTCACTAGGGTCTTGCTATTCCATGTAGGGTCGTGCCCCCCAACCCCTTCAGCCATACCTACCCTGTGGGATGGCATTTGCCTTTCCCAAGGCTCCTCAAAACCAGCCCCAACCCTTCTCCTTTAAGCAGCTTCCCAGTTCCTAGGACACTGGCAGCCTAGGGACACATTCCCTCCTGGTATATCTAAGCTTAGGGACACTGCCGGAGTGTTTCTGTCACAAAAATGCAAACCTATATGGCATAGACAGCGAGGGAGGGTTGAGCAAGAGGAGGCATCTCTGGGGTACTACAATGTAAGTAATGGGAGTTCTTCCCTCTCTGGTCTGTTTCCAGATTGTTCTATGCCTCTGCCCAATCTTCCTCAATGGACTCCATTCACTTGGTCCCAGAAGTCTCTCTGTCTCACAACAGCCTATCTTCCCCCAGCCTATCTAGGGAAGAATTCCATCCAACCTAGAGTTGGGTAGCAGGGAGGACCAGAAGCCTGGCTTGCTACCCTAGCAGTCCCTGAGGCCCTCTGGTGGCCATACGCAGGCCAGGCTGCGGCAAGAGAGGCAGCCAGGCCATTCAGTAGAGAGGCTTCAAGTAGGAAGTGGAGAGCTGGTTAAACATTAGAGTGGGATCATGATGCATGGATGAGGGTCAGTACACAACACCAAAGGCAAGAGGGAGCCAGCACATGCTGAGGCAGGAGGACCTTCTGATACTGGAGGAACTGCTGGGTAGAGTTGTCCACGAACCCTTCCCCAAGCAGAGCAAAGACTGTGGCTGGAAAATGAGCCCCTGTTCTACGCATGACATTTCTGGGACAACTTTGCTTTTAACTTAAATGTTAACCTGGATTTTGTCTTACAGAGAACCACATGACTTTGTTATCAGCCCTGATCTTCCAAAGTCTCACCCCAGCACTTGCCACACCACAGCCTTGGCTACATGAATGGCTAGCTAACGTCTAACTCCACTGACTGTCCTGGGTAGGTATAATTCCCTATCTTACAAATGTGAAAACCAGGTCCAGGTCAGGTAGGATCTGAACTCACGTGTTCATATTCCCAGGGCTTCTCATACCCCTCCCCAGCAGGAGATGGTATGGCTACAATGTCATACGGGACTCTAAGAGAGATGTTAGGAAAAGGTGGAGACGCAGAGGTGACAGTGAGGCAGGGTGACAGTGGTCAACAGAGGAACGGGTCTCTTTCTAGGGGTACTCTCATTACAGGGGTATGGTACAGGAGGGTAGGTCAGGATGGATGGAGGGACTACAGCCAGTCATCTTGCTGGGAGCCCTGTGTCAGGAGGCAGACAGGAAGTGGCAGAGATTGGACAGGGCAAACCTAATGATGGGACTCATGACGGGATACCCATCTTGAAAGCCTTTGAACATCCTGCTGAGCTCGTCTACAGGCTCCTGGGTAACCCATCTGGCCAAGGGGTACTACTGAGCACTTTGTCGTGCTCCATTTCTTCAATGAGGATAGTCTGAGCCTAACCCTGTTATAACCTGCCTCCCAGGCACAAACACTGGGCTTCGCCACCAAACCATCTAAATCTCTAGACACCCTGCTGACACCTGCCTGTACTCCACAGACTTCCTGAGACTTGGGGGAAGGGCTGCAGCTGTGTTACAGTGCCACTGACCCAAACACAGGGCTTTAGGCTGGGGCACAAGCCCGGCTCAAGCTTAAAAGCCAGACCAGCAAGCTATAGACCAGCAAAGGCTGACTATGTGGAGAGTCCCCACAGGTACAAGCTGAATCCACCAAAGGGCAGGCCAGACTGAGCATAAGGAGCAGGTGACTGAGGGGACATGTACTCATCATGGGTCAGGATGGCCTGCCTAAGAGCTTGATTGTGGTATCGCCTCGGCAGGATGCAGCCTTGCATGGCTCTCTTAGGGCTCTGCGAGCAAAGGTGGGAATGAAAACGCAAGAGAACATGTCCTTCCTGCAGTCAATGTGGGCGCAGATACAGGGAGCCCTTCAGCCACCTTCAGGGACAGTTCATGCTGCTCCAAGACTGGTACCTACCACAGCAAAGCCGCCCCTCCAGACCCATCGTAAGAATGCACCAACCGCAGTCAGGGATGCTGATGCCCAGCTCAGGGCTAGACTCTGCTGCAAAACCATTTCCATCTACCAGTGTCCTTGTGGGCCTACGTCTCACCATCCCACCGTGTGGCCCCTGAGTGGTCCTCAGAGCGTGAGAAGCACTCCAGGATGCCACGGAGCCTTGTCCTAGGATCTCTGACAATCAACCCAGAAGAAGCAGAGCTCTGGCTTTCCAGCTAGGCATCTGGGGAAGAGCTCCAGGCTAGTCTGGGGGTGAAAGGAAGTCAGTCTGAATCCTGTGCTGCACAAACAAGGACACAGCACAGCCCTACTCCTACAGAGGCTAAGAAATGCAAAGGCTGCCTAGGGCAAGGAAGAGGCCACCTGGAGGAGGGTTGTGAGAGAGAATTAATGTAGGGAGCCAAAGAGCACAGACTGGGGGTAGGAGGGATATAGCAGCTGGGACATAGCCAGACTAAGGGCTGGGCCCAATTCATGCAAGAGAGCCTTGGTCACCAGCATCTGTACAGAAGTCATGAGGATGGCACAGTTAGGAGGACCAGCGCACTGGCTTGGCTGTGCTCAGAAGTACCTGTCATCAGAGCCAAATATTTTGTGCCCACTATGCAATGAGCACTAATGGACCCCAAATGAAGGATAGGTGTAGAGCAGAAGAAACAGGTCCTACCTCAGATGACACAAAGTTGCAGCTTCTGGCCTTTCCAGATAGTTAGTATCTGTCTGGACCACCCGCTTCTGAAGCAGGCATAGCCTCAGAACACAGGGATGAACTAGAGTAGTCCCAGTATCTATCACCATCCAGGCTCACAGATCCTGAGATCCTCCCCACAGCAGGCGGCACTTGCTCCCGATGGACCAGATACAGCCTGGATCCTGGACCAAAGGAGGGGTACAGGGCCTGGGGATCACTGTGGAGTTGGATGGTCTTGGTGCATAACTGGCCGTACTGAGCGAGAGTTATTTCCAATAACAACTTGCCCATAGTTCTATCCCTGGCTTTATAAAAGTCTAGCCTAACATCAGGATAACCAAAGTGAGTTCCAGTGAGGACCCAGCAGATAGTGTAAGCAGAAACCAGAGGCCTCAATTCAGACCAATGACTCTCTGCAATGAATACTTGCAAGTAAAGATATATGGGTTAAAAGAGAGAGAGACTAGAAGTTAACACAAATGGGAGCATTTCTTTCTTTTCCATCATATCTAAATGTCTGAATCTACAGGGAAGAAGCAAGAGTCCCCTAGTACCCTAGACACTTTGCTATCTGACACCAAAACAAATAGTTAAATGTTGCATGTATGCAACATCTGATTACTTAAAAATTAAAGGGGGAAAGCCAGAGTACCCAGGCCTCCTACCCAGAGCAACTCCAGGTTTGCTGACTGTCTGGGGTTGGCGTCCCACTGAGGAATGTGGGCTATCTAGGGAAAAGATCCAAGCAGAGACACCAGACAAGGGATTCCCAGCAGAGTCTCTTCTCTCATTTGTGAGGCCTTAGGAGCAGCGTGGTGCTGGGACACCCCATTGGCATCACCGAGACCCGGTGCTCACCAACGGCTGTGCCGCCCGTGGAAGTTCCCCGACCTCGCCTCCCCTGAGTCCCCGTAGTAAAGTTTCCATAGCTGCCGAGTGCCAGCTTCCAGGTGCTGCGGTGCCTCGCGGAGGGCAAGGCTGCGGGAGCTGGGTCGTGTTCAGCCCGGTAGCATGAAGCTGGCTCCTTGGTCAAGTCGGACAGGGCCCTGGGGTCACGCACAAAGGGACCCGCCCCCAGCGACCCCAGCTCTCTGGAGCCCCGGCGTGGGCGAAGCGCTGATGGGCAGAAGAACCGGCTTCCGAACCCCACCCAGACCTTGAGTCCGAGCCCAGGACCCTGTCCCTAGCAGAGTCCACGTCGCAAGCTAGACTCTATACCCAGCCCGCTCCCCCAGCACACACCCTAGCCCCGGCCCAGAATAGAGTGTCCAGCCCCAGGCCCACAGCCGGACCCCGCCCACCCGGCCGAGCTCACCTGGCGCGCGGCGTGGGCGGCTCCGCAGCGCGGCCTCCGCCCCCCAAGACAGGCGCTCCCGGTCCCCCGGCGCGCAAAGAGCGGCCTCTCCAGCGCTCTGCACCGGACGCGGCTCCCGGGGCCACAACTCGTGCGGGTGCTGGGGAGAACCCTCCCCCCTCCCCTACCCCCCGAGCAGCCGGCGGTCTAGCCCTCCAACCCCTCCCACGACCCGTGTGCAGAGCGGACCCAGCCGGCGACGAGGCCCCGGCCCCGCCCCATCCAACCGCGAATTTTCCCATTGGCAGAGAAACGCGCCCCGCAACCCGCACCGATTGGATGGATGTGCAGAGATTGCAGCTTGCCGTTGGGCTCCTGGTATTGTCAGTCTTAGCGGATGATCGGCCCCCTAGCGGAGCAGGCCGAGGAGGCCCTGACACCTGCCCCAATGCTGCGGTTGCAACGGAGACAGAAGGCTCGGAGCTGCCCCCTCTCGGCCGCCTTCTGAGGACTTTCCCCGATAGTAGGCCCTGAGCCGCAGCTCCCAGGGCCGGCGGTCACTACTGGACTACAGCAGCATTGTCTCCATCACCACCCCCAGTTCGCAGGTATCCTTTAGCGCCTGCTGTTTGCCGGACACCAGGTGGAGTGTCGATCCTTTTTATTGGCATAGAATGGTATTTCTCCTACAAGGAGGGTTGGCCTGCTGCCCCTATTCTACAGATGGAAAACTGAGGTCTGGGGAGGTTCTTGCTTGTTTTAGGAGACCAGGACGTGAACCCAGTGGTCCGTGGGGCATGGGGCTCTCTCATTGCCCCAGCGAGGACAGACAAGGTTAGCAAGGCTGGCAAGGGGTGGGGATGGCTGCAGTGTTTCGAGGGCAAAAATAGACTGGTAAAACTAGGGTTTGTTTCTTCTGTCAAGCCTATATTTACGGCGCTCTTGGGTGCTTCCCACACCGCATGAGGCTGCTCTTTCCTGGGGCATTACTAGAGTTCTCAGCCTGGGAAGGGGAATTATTGTTTATCTCTCCCCCACCCCACCCTAGTGTCGGCATTTCCTCTGCCCTGCTTTGAGTCTGGAGAAACATTAAGGAGCTTCATCATCCACTGCCTGAAAAGATTAGCACACATTGCCCTGCCAGGTAGAGAACACCAATCACATCTGCAGTGACACCAGGCAGTGGAGGGGAACCACCAGGGATGTTGTAAACAGGAGACGGGAATGCAGAGATGAATCTGGCCTGTGCTTGCTTATAAGCCTTTCAGGCCCTGGATGCACCTGGAAATAAGTGACTCCCGGGCTATCTGCGTTTCCAAGGCCCCTACAGATAGTGCTAATGGAAGTCGGGGGGGGGGTCCCAGACAGTCATATTTCACCCACATATGCTGAGTCCAGCATGCTCACCCAATAATGGTTGAACAAGAACCATTGTTGCTTGGCAAGAACAAAGAAAGAAAAATGCCTGGAGCAAGATCTCACTTCTGGGTCCACCTGTTCTCTAGCAATAAAAACTGATACTAGGAGCTCTTCAAAGTCAAGACAGTTGCTTCTACTCTGTTGGTTATTGGCACTTGAAATGAAAAGCATTTGGCATCCTGACATTGAGATGTTTTTGAGCTCTGGGAAGACAGATTGAGCCCCCTCAAGAAAACAGAGTCCTCCTAGAAGGCAGCTCTTGCTATGTAGAACAACATTCTGGCTAAGTTGCTATGTGGTGGGGGAGTCCCTTTTCTGCATGGGAAGTGGATTTATTAAGTTCAACTGTCCTCTACGTTCTCCAAAGGCATGGCCCCTAGGCATCCAGGAGCCCTTCTTCTGAAAGTCCCATAGTTCTTTATCACTATTTCTACATACCTGGTGATGGTACAAAAGAGGCTGACATGCCTCTTTTCTGCTGAAAGAAGGCAAAAGGAAAACATTCCTCCCTAATTGACTCAAGCTAGGAATGCCCCCTTCCAGAGACCTGTCTGCTTTAGAGTCTGGTTACCCGCTGCATAGCCAAGACCACGGTGGGTAGAGACGGTTCAGGTAGGTCTCAGGGGTGCTGTCCTAAAGTCTGCCTACCAGGGAGGGGTCAAACATGGAGCAGAAGGCCACAGGTGCCAATAGTTCAGTGTTCCCGCTCCCATCTAGCTAGCTGCTGGCCAGCTTTGTAGGGACAGTGCTGGGGGAAGTCACCAAGAAGGCGTGCGTCAGGAAGAGCTTCCTAACTGTCCTCACTTATGGCCTGAAAAGGTGGCTACGAAAGGTGGTGAGGGATGTGCAATTGGAGGTGGGATGGCCATGCGCCAGATTCAAATGGGAGAGAATGTCAGAGTGTTTAACTAACAAAAAGGAGTAAGGGTTCAAATCAGGTCACAGGGCCACCTGCTGCCTGTGACAGGATTTGAACCACTGTCCAATGTGTTCTTGCATTCCTGTTTAGTAACGGGAAAGCTTGTCTAACCCATGTCCCACTCCGAGGTACATGGCTTGGTGCTTTGGAGACAAGCTATTGTGTATTTGCTGGTCCATAACCCAGCCATACTCACTTATCCCCAAGCCTGTGTCCTGCTTGCCCATCACTACTACCTTAGTGCCAAAGACCAAGTGGTCTGGTTGCTCAGTGGGAGATTGCTGGCAGGAGCTGTGCTAAACTGGAGGGAGAATGGAAGTGCCTAGCTAGGTCTGCCACCTGCTGGCCAAGAGTCATGCTGCGTGGAATCCTGTTATGTTTTTTGCAGACGGTTTCCATTGGCTCCGGGGAGGAATGCTGGTGAGGTAGTGAGAGAAATGGGCAGAGCAACACTGGTGGTGGCTGGGTCTGGCTACAGCCTTGCCTTTGCCTCTCTGGATTCCAGTTTTCTACAAAACATCAGGATTGCAGTTTGGGACTGTGGCACCTAGATCTTCCATACAGCTATTGTCACTCGCCATTTTTAATTTTTTTAAATTACGTTTTATTTAGTGTGTATGCACCACAATGTAAATGTGGTAATCAGAGAACAACTTAAAGGACTAAATTCTCTCCTTCCAGCATGTGGGTCCCAGGAATGGAACTCAGGGAGCCAGGTGTGACTGCAAGCATCTATACCAACATGGCCATCTTGCCAGCCCTTTCTTTTACTTCAAATGAATAGCTTAACTGCTCTGAGAAATTGTGTTTACAGCTATAAAGTGGAGTGAATGAGAACTGGGTATCAAGAAACTGGGTACATTATCATTGTCCTTATTTTAGATGTCATCCTTGTCATTGGATTTAGTATTCACCTTAGGGAGGTACTTGGATGTCCCATCTTAGTGATGCTCGGGCCCCTGGCACAACCTGATACTAACGGGTACAGGTAGCCCCAGTGAAAGCCTCGGTCCTGTTCCGAAGGCCCCATTCATTGCCCAAGCATAGTTCCAGCATGGTCAACTCCTTATCCTTCGGGTCTGGACCTGCGGGACGGTCTCCATGTCCGCTCAAAGACTATGGAAGGCAAGGTGAAGCAAAAGCCCAAGTTCTTTGGTGATTTCTAATGCAGAGATTGCAATAGATAAGGGTCAGAGGCCAGAGAGACAGACTGACTGAATTGGAGGCGGCAAAGGGAAGGGAGAGCTATCCAGGACAGATCTAGAGGTTTAAGACCAAACACAGCCTAAGGACGACGGTTCTTGCGCCTGAACCTGTCGGGTTAAGGGGCTATCTCAATCACTCAGAGATACTTCGCAGGCTGGGGTTGCAGTGGCAGCTTGAAGGGACCAGACGCCAGCACAGCTCCAGCTTTGGCGTAGCTCCAATCTTGGCGCAGCTCTGGGGGCGGAGCGCCGAGTATCTGAGCGACGGCACGCACAGCCAACAAGGGCGCAGCTGTGGGTGTGCCGCTCCGCCTTTCGCTGTTGCGTCCAATAGCGAGCGTCCTGGCCTCGGTCTGGGCGGGCCCTGGGCTGGAGACTGTGGCGCGCGGGTGCGGCACCCGGAAGTCGGCGGCTGCGGAGGCGGTGAGTGCGCGGCGGGAGGCTGGGGCTGGCGGGCTGCGCTCCTGGCGGGGCTAACACACTGTCGGGCGCCGGGCTCCTGGAACACGGTCTGGACCAGGTTGGTCAAGGGCGAGGCGGCCCGCACCTTCTCGTCTTAACTCGGTTTCCCCTTTCCAATGCATAAAATGGAAACTAAACGGCCTGACTCGGGACTCTAGTCCGACAGACCAAACCTTCTCTGGCAATTGAAAGCAGCCCACACGGTACTGAAAGGTGTTTTTGATTATCCCTGTCAGGACCGGGTGCGGGGAGAGGGGGTCTCGGCAGACAGGAGCAGACTCGCTGTTTAAGAGGCTAGATTGACTGGACAGGGAGCTGCATGGTTGTTGCAGGGTGGAGGGCTGCAGCCTCCAGCGTCTCAGGGACCTCTCTGGTGGAGCCTAGTCATGTCGCCCCCTCTCACCCTGAAACCTGCCATGAGGCCTCGAGAGGCTCACGATATGTCAGAGTAGGCGGCAAGTGCTGGGTCATTCCTGTCCCAGGCGTGGGCTTTACTGGGTCGTCTTGGTAAACCCACGCCCGGAGCTGGAGGGCATTACGTGTATCCAGGCCCTACTCTAGGCTCTTTGGTAGCCCTGGTTTGCTTGTTTTCCTCTTGGACAGTGGGCAAGGAGGACCCCATGTTGAGACACCAGCCGTCTACCCTCAGCGTCTTTCCTGTGCTTTTGCCTGGTAGGGTAGATCACCTCTTTAGGGTGAACCTTAAGTCCTTTCACAGGTCCCTGATCCTCAGTCCCCCCCCCCCCCTCCCCAGTGAAGTGTGTCTTTTTCAGCCCTGTCTGCCGGCTGGACCTGCTGACTACTCTTTTGCCCCTACTGGGCTCAGAGCCATCTTCTGAGGTAGATGTGACAGCAGCTATAAGGGACAGCTGGATGTCACTGTGAAAGGCATCCTCTAGACAACTTTTTAAGGCAATATTCATTGTTCCAACACTGTCCATAGTGAAGAAAACTCTAGCTAAGGGAATCAAGTGTTTCCAAGGCTGCTCCAGTCCAGGGTGCTTGGCTTCCAGGCTTGTGCGCCCCCCCCCCCCATCATGTGATCTGCTGGAGAGGGTGACTTACCAGATAGATGGAGCAGAGCCTTTGCTCCTCCTCCAGATTCCCAGTGTTCCCACAGGGATGCAGGATGCTCTGGTGCTCTCATCTACAGGTTCCCTACCGTGCTCCCCAATCCCACATTTTCCTTTAATTTGTGTCTTTATGTCAGTGTTTGGGGGACACAGCTCCCAGCTGTCACCCCTCAACAGCCTGAGGATTTTCTCTAGTTTTAAGGGACCTAAACTCATGTTTCACCAGGCTTTCATGCTGATAAGAATTCCAGGATACCCAGTTTATGAAGTGGAGTTGGAGATTGTGTTAAAGATATTTCAATAGAGGCTTAAGCATGAAGATTAGGAGCAAAAGAGTACCCCCCCCCAAAAAAGGAAAATATACCCCAGAGGTTGGGCTTCTCAAAAGCAGCTCATTCAGCAGGGCAGGGATGGTGACCACTCCTTTAATCCAGCACTTGGAAAGCAGAGGCAAGCAGAGCTCTGTGAATTCGAGGCCAGCCTGGTCTACAAAGGGAGTTCCAGGACAGACAGGGCTATTACACAGAGAA